GATATTTTGCTTTGCAAATTTACATTATCAGTAGTCTGAAAGTAGAAATATGTGGCAAAATTGGAATTAAGTGAATATACTCACACTTAGGGAAGCCATCATCCTTTCCTATTAACCTGTAATTATGAAAAGGATCACAACCAGTAATTAAAATGTCTCTTTTTAAATTGCTTCTGACTAGATTTTGCATTACCATAATGTAATAATGGATAGTTAGGTTTCAATTCTTCCTCTAAAGCACTCAGTACAATTGCCTCACTTAATACCTACAATATAGTCTTCACTTATAGATGGATAAAGTATTATTCAAATATTTGTTCTTTGTGATTAGTTTCCTCCATAATTTCAAATGACTTTACTTCCTAGTTCTAAAGAAAAAGTGCCATAAGTCTTCCAAGAGTTACTCACATCTGATAGAAAAATGTATAAACATTTTTATCACTGCAATTATAATGTTGTGAACACTAAGAATACATATAGGCATGAACAAAAGCAATTACTGTTAGGTTTTATAGTGCAGACAAAATATTAAACCAGTTATTTAATGGCACCTGTCATTTGACTCTGAGGGAAAATAAAGAACCTTAGAACTTTTTGTCATGTAGCAAAACATAAAAATAAAGACTTTGTGTAAATAACAAGCAACTTTTGTAACCTCATATACTTTATTACAGTATGCTAATTTAACACTACATTTCATTGGTCTTTTAGTCCAAGCATCACCCTGAAGAGATTAGGGGAGCCCTGAACAAAGTTTCATCAATATTTAGTTATAATTTAACATAAATTCTATGTCTTATTTATGATAACCAATTTCTTGCTTAGGTTCTCTGTAAACTCTCAATATGTTTTAACAATAGCTATATTTGTACAAGATACTTTTGTCTAGTGTTATTTTGCTGAAAGCATGAAATCTAAATCTTTTAATTCTGACAGAATTAAAGAATATGTTCCACAATCTATCAGCCCAGATGTGATGTAATCTCGTGCACATCTGACCAAAAGCAAACTATCTAATCTTTCAGAATTCAAGCGTGCTGTGTTCTCTTCTAAATGATCAATTTTAATTTGTTTCAAACTGAACCAAACTATTACAAAAGTTTATACATTCTTAGTTAATATGATAGACTTCCTTCTTTCGTTTGCTACAGAGGAAGAGTGCTTAAAGCCATAATGTGTTAGGATTCATGGAGGCTAAGTTGCAGCTAACTAAAACCTTAAAAAATGACTATAGAGCTGTGCCCTGAATCCATGTTTCTACAGAACAACAGTGCAACAGGCTATAATTTTTATTTTTAATGTAATCTTTGGCCTTGGATTTAAGTAGCAGCTTTACAGTACTTACAGGAGCCTCAGTTCTATTCTTTTAGACAATAACAATGGAGATTCATGATTTTAGTTGTGAATATATGAATATTATTGTAATTTGTGACTTAATGGGGGAATTGAAAGTTTCTATGTAAATGTTTCTGAGGAGGATGAGTGAGGAGCTGTGCCTTTGTCAAGGAAGGGGAACCTGTGGTTGTGCAGATGTTGCTGAACTACAGCTTTTAGCATTGGCCATGGCATGACTGCATGGAGCTTCAATTCAGTAACCAAAGACCACAATTTCCCCACACTCTTGGATGTTTTGGTAACAAAACAAAACAAAACAAAACAGGACAATATAAACTTAATTATTTATAGACTGTGGTGATACTTTAAATGCATGACACGATCATTTCTTATCTTTACAATAGAGAAGTGAGAGGCAACATAAAAGTGGATTTGAGAAACTTTCATCTGTATTCCATGAGAACACACCTCCTTTGAAGCGCAGTGTGATGATAATGTGGCGACCCAAAGCCAACTGATCTCTGGTTTTATACCACAGTGACATGAAGAAATTAATATGTGATATCCACAGTTCTGTAAATAACAGACTGATCTATGGACTGGCGGTGGTTTTGAAGGGTCTTCAAAGAAAATCCTAAGGCCTTTTTATAGATTTTAATCATTTTTCTCAGCTACCCCGTTTACCTGTAAGATTGGTTATTCTCGGGTAAACTGTAATTTCTAGGCCACGATTCCATTTTTGATTAATGAAATGGTCTTGCTGTGACAAAATTCAGAGCATCGTAATGAAATGTAACTTTTTTTTTTTTTGATAAGAGTGCTCTGTATTTTTTTCTCCATAGGTTTAGGGAGATTTTCAGTCGTCCAGGTGATGGTTGTTTGTCCCAAAGATGCTTTTTCAGGAGGCAACTGGACTTTCTGGGTTTTTTTTTTTTTTTTGAAGACGTTTCACTTCTCATCCAATAAGCTTCTTCAGGGGAAGCGTCTTGAAGTCTTGAAAAAGCACTTTTGGATTTCCCCATAGCAGTGGTGGGTTCCTTCTGGTTCCGCCCAGTTCCGCCAAGCCGGAAGCGGTGACGATATGACATCATCGAACCGGTTCTGCCCCCCCGCCCCGCACCCTCCCCCGTTATTCTTACCTTTTATTTGGCCTCACCCCCAATCTATTGCTGCCTCCTGAGTCCCAGCTGATGGGCTATAAGGAGAAAAACTGTTTAAACTCTTGCCTTGGGGCTTCAAAGGGATACCCTACAGCTGATCAGTGGTAAAAGGCAGTTTGGTGTTAGTCCTGTGCCTCCAAAAACAAATGAGTAGACCGGTGCCTGCAAAAATAAATGGGTAGACCAGTGCCTGCAAAAATAAATGGGTAGACCAGTGCCTGCAAAAATAAATGGGTAGACCGGTACAGCTCTGCAAGCAGTTAAAAGCCTGGCAGTACCTCTGCTAAATCCTAAAGAATTGTCACATGACCATCAAGCCACGCCCACAAAATAAGCCACGCCCACAGAACCGGTAGTAAAAAAATTTAGAACCCAACCCTGCCCCATAGGTTGCCTTTTCTGAAGAAGTTTTTCTTCATTTAGATGAGTTGAAAAACAAAAGATAACATCTCGGAAGGGCATAATTGTTTGTCAAAGATTCGGTGTCCCTCGGGTGCTTTCTGAGCGGTAAAAATCAGCCTTGAAACTTAAGGAGGCCAAGCTGAGGGGTGAACATCGCCCCCGCCCAGCCCCCCAGCCCCCGGCAGGCGAAGGCCGAGCCTAAGTTGCAATTGGCCTCTTCGCCGGCAGAGGTCAGCATTGCCACATAACCTGTACCTAAGCAGCGCAGGAGCCAATCAATAGGGCGGAACGAGTGCAGCGCGTGCCACTCTCCTGCGCCCGGTATTGCCGATAGGGGCGCACGAACCACTTTCCTTTTGGCAATCGGGATCGGGAGACGAAGTTGAGAGATCCGGCAATTTCAACCCGTCTTTGAGGGTTGGCAGATCCTCGGTTGTACTGCAGCAGGCTAGACCTCGACTTCTCTGGGAGAAATTCCCTTAGCTTGGAAAGGGGCTGTTAGAAACCACTAGCCCTGCCTGAGGCAGTCCTCTCTTACATTTAAAGCCGCTAGCCCGAGTCTGCCTCTTGCAAGAAGTAAATATTTCCAATGGCGGGAGGGAGGGGGGGGAAAGGAAGGAAGCGGGAACTGCCGGAAAAGGACTCTTCCCCTCCCCCCCCACAAACCGGAGTTCCTAATCCCCGTTGGGGCGAGGGGGAGCCCAGAGTGTGGCGGCCGTTGCCGAAGATGCCCGATTGCCTACGACGCTTTCAAGCAGTGATTTAAGGAGGAAACGGGCTCTTTTTACCTTGGAAAGCGCGGGGAGTTGAACACACGCAACAGGACGTTGTCGATTCCCCCCCCCCAAATTCCATGTCAATGTACCAGAACTTCTGGATAACCTATATTAAAAAAAAAATAATTTTTTTTTGTTACAAAATTGCTAGTGAAAACTTAAGGCGGGATGACGTGGAGCGCACAAGCCTTTGCTTTTATGTAACGTGGGGGAGGGAAAGGGGGGCAAACTCCCCTTCTGGGCTGGGCTGGCCAGCCTACTGGGGGTCAGCAGGTATGAGGAAGCAGAATATTGCAAAAAAAAAAAGAAAAGAGAGAGAGAGAGAGAGAGCAATCCGTGTGGCTGAGACACCCGAAGGATGTTCCGGCCGGTGCTGGCGTGCCTCAGGTCCCAAGTAGTAAAAACAACTGAAACGCCATTCGTGTTATTTGTAATTTTTTTTACCAAAGAAAACCCATATTTGGACAGCTTTTACTCCATTGCTTATCGCCTGAATAGCTATGTGATTAAGCAACCGCGGTTTAACACGATGTGGGCAACAGACGCGGCCGCTTGGCTGAACCACCGCTTTCCTTTTCTCCGTGTATGGCACATAACACGAGTCGGAAAACAAACCGACATTACTTCTGTAGCTGAAGCTTGAGTTCAGGAATGCGTGAAAGCCCACCGGAAGGCGATTGGGAGCCTGCAGATCTTTGCCCAGTGAGCAACAATTCTGCCGTCAACAAACCCCCCCCCGACTCGTTTTACGGCTGCGCAGGGGGCCAAGGCAGGTTTTGAACCTCCGTCAAAGATCAATATGTATTATTTATATTATTTATTCCACAATCCCTGCAGTTCCTAAGCTGCCAAGAGCACCTGGCCCATCGAGTCCTGAATCTACTGAGACGCCTCAGGCAGCGTCTCTTTTATCCGGCGGCGCGCCATTGCGCCCAACGGCGAATAAAACCAGTCACACCCCCTGCTTTCGAAGGACGGATCGGTCTGCCTGGCCGACCGCGGTTCTCCGCCTCCCCCCCTCCAAAATCCAAAAATTCGGGACTCTCGGGAAAAGGATGCACCCGAAAAGGCCTTCCTATCGTTCCTTGATCCCCGCCTCGGAAGGCTCCAACCGCGGAAGCTTTCAGCTTCGCTAAAGCAGCACCCTTCGTTTGTGGGCGCGTGGGCGGGCTGTCTCTCTCTCTCTCTCTCCCCCCACCTCCGCGCGCACAGCTCATTCACACGGATCTGGCAGGCTACGTTCGTCCGAGCCAGCTTTCCAATTGGCTCGACGCTCCGGGAGCCCGAAGGCAGGAAAATAAAGGATCGCAGCCAAGGCGGCGGTGATTGGCGAAGCTCTTCTCACATCACAGGTCTTTGGAATCGCCCTACAGCTGTTGCTGGAACGTCAGGGCCCGTGACGTCGCACCCCCCTCCTATTACTGCTCTTCCAATGGGGGGTTGGCCTCCCCCTCTCTTTTTTATCGGCCTGATCTCCTTCATCTTTTCTTAGGAAGCGTGACGGACACCTTTGCATCTGTGCACGGCACCTCGGCCACGTACCTTGCTCTCTTGCCATGCCTTTCAAGTCCTGCGTAGCAACATTGAAAGAGGATTTGGATTTGCGCAGGTAGAATCCTTCGATTACCGCGCTTTGATTCTTTTAATACTCGGGCCATTGCATGATTGCATACTGGAGATTTGACATAGCGGGGAAAAAAGTGAGTTATCTGTATTTTATTTTCTCCCCAGACTCCCCACCCCCACCCCCCGTGCATGTATTAGTCAGTTGGGAACTTTTTAGTAAACTTAATGCTTAATAAATTAGATTAATTATGACTTTTGTAAAAAAATAAAAATCCTTTAATAAAAGGTAACCGTTGCTGTTAAAGTAGACAACTTTTGCCTAATGTTCTATATTCTGCGCCGTTTATTTGCATTGTGCAAACGCTTTTTAAACTGCGTGACCTACTTGAATACGGTGGGGGTCCCTTACTTCTTCGCCTCGTTTGCTGTTTGGCGCTCAGCCCTGCCTACTAACTTGTTAAATCGGGGTGGGTAGGAATGTTACCTTTCGGAGAATAAATGCGGAGGGCGAGAAAGCGGCCGAAGCGACTGTTTTTAAACGGGGGTTATCTTTTCTCTATGAGAAGATGCGCCAGCGGTTTGACTAACAGACTTTTTTACCGACCGACCGACTGAAAGGTCGGCCCAGTAAATAGTACCCCAATTATTTATATTAGTACATTGCTCTGCAGCAACTCTTTTTAAAAGAAATAAGTAATCGAAACATTTCAGCCAACTTTCCTCCAATTGTTTTTTTATGTTTAGCTCCATAGCAGACATTTCTGTCGTCAGGATTACGATCTAATTATTCCCTGCGTTGCTAGAGGCCTGTCCTAAAACGCCTTGTATACCACCCCACCCCCGTCCCTTTCTTGCCAGTTAACCATCAGAGAGTCCACCGGAATATGATTTGGAGTTGGATGGCCGGGATTATTCGCGTCTATCATAAATCAGAGACCTTATACATTCCTTGAGTATTCTGGCCCAAGATGCCCCTTGCTTCAGTTGTGTTGAGAACGGGGGGGGGAGAGAGCTGTTCCTAGAGGGGTGCTGAGCAATCCCTCTTCCCCATTCTTGTGTCACCTATTTGTTAGCTGATGTCGGTAGATCTGGGTTTTTCTCAAATGTTCCCGACAGTACAGCGCGAAGTAGCAAGTGCGCAACGACCGAGAGCTTGGTGTCTCCCTCCCCCACTTTTTTTCCCCAGTTCCCTTTTTCCTACGAACTTCCCTGAGAATTTTACTCATGGTTTCTACCTGAGAAAAAAAAAAAGCCCCACCGGTTTAGCCTCTTGATTCTTTCCCTGACATTACTTGTCAGCCGCTCTGAGTCAAGGTATCGCTACCGCGAGACGGCTGGAGGAATAAATGTGAGAAGTAAATAATTAAATAAATAAATAGGAGGGGGTGTTTGCATGGGAAGAGACAGCCGTTCCCGTACCCAACCGCTAGCCAATATTCCCTTACTGCTCCGATCCCAGATGCAGATGCTAACTTTAGCAATTACCGCATAATTCAGGTTCAGAAGGGCTTTCAAGAAGGGACGAGTATCATTCCTCCACCCCCGCGAGACTGGCTGTTCGTTGTACAGCTCCGCGCTATTGCAACGCTCGCTCTCCGCAGGGAGAGCCCAAGAATGTTCGCAGGCTTTGGCTGCTGGCTCTGAGGACCATCCTTCTTCGAGGATCCCTGGTTGACGATTAAAGATCGGGCCCTCTTTAAGAGCTCCCCCCCGAGCCCCCACCCCCACATCGCTGGCAGATTTTCCGAGCAGCTGCTTCCAGGAAGTTCCAGCAGAATCCCCCATATTCGGACTTTCACCTTTCCTCCCCTTGCACTGGGGATAGCTTTTATTGGGGGGGGGGGTGGAGAGAGAGAGGCGCAGAGGAAAGAAGTTTAGGAAAAGCTCTGCGAAAAGCAGCTGTTTAAGCAGAGAAAGGGGCGTGTCGCAAAGCGAGAGAAGAAGCGTCCATATGCAGATGAGAGGGGCGTGGGGAGCGGAGAGTGATTCGGGCCCCGGAAGAGCCAGGAAAAAAAAAAAAAACCCATATAAAAAAGTACTTGGGAACGATTTTCCGACCAGAACTAGCAAATAGCCTAGAGGCGGAAGGGCGATCGGGAGCAGCTCTCTGGAGAAGAGCGAATCGGACTGGCTGGCGGATGCACCGCGGGCCACGGGACATGACTCCATAAATAACTCCAAACCGGGCTGCTCCTCCACAACTGCGCGTAGGTGGACATTCGTCTCTCTGTTTGTCTCTCCCTCCCTCTCTCTCTCTCTCTCTCTCTCCTTTCTTGCTAGTGCTTCTTTCACGCCGTCCCTTAGCGAGGCGGCTCGGTCACGTACACACACACACACACACACACACACACACACACACACACACACAATACTGGCAGGTGGACCAGAGAAAGCCCGGGGGATGAGTTGGGGAGGGAGGAATGATTAAAATATTTGTGCCCCTGGTCAACCTGGGGGTGGCGGAGGCGGCGGGGGCTTCGCTTCGTGTGCTTTGAAAAAACGGGGGAGCTCGGTGAATAGGAGGGGGCGGAGAAAAGCGACTGCGATCCTCCAGGCTTGAGGATCGCAGCTATAATTCAGTTTGCTTTTGCATTTCTTTCACCCTCCCTCCCTCCTATCCACCCCCCTCCCCACCTCACCCGCTAGGAGCGAAGGAAGAAGACGCCTTGAAAAGGAAAACGGTGCCTTTTGTCCATTAGTTCTGCCTGCGTCGTTTGAACTCCCCTCCACGCGCACATCGTCTCCACGCCATCCTATAAATTAAGCTGGACCATGGCAGACGACGAAAACGGGCTTAGCGGCGGCGGCAGCAGCAGCACCACCACCACCACCAGCAGCAGCTCGAACGAGGTCCCTCCGGAGCCCTGCAGGGACAGTTGCGAGAACAGCCGCTGCAATGTGCTGACTTGGGAGCAAGTGCAGCGCTTGGATCGTATCCTGAGTGAAACCATCCCGATTCACGGCCGGGGGAACTTCCCCACTCTGGAAATGCAGCCGCGACAGATCGTGAAGGTGGTGAGGAGCCGCCTGGAGGAGCAAGGCATCGGCGTGCGCGATGTCCGGCTCAACGGCTCGGCGGCCAGCCACATCTTGCACCAGGATAGCGGCCTGGGCTACAAGGACTTGGACCTCATCTTCTGCGCCGATTTGAAAGGCGAGACGGAGTTCCAGAGAGTCAAAGACGTGGTCCTGGATTGCCTCTTGGATTTCTTGCCGGACGGGGTTAACAAGGAGAAGATCACGCCGCTCACCCTGAAGGTAAATTAAATGGAATGCGCTCTCCGTCCCAGCAGGTGGCTGCTTTAGACAGACCAAGGGCCAGTCTAGAATAAAAGAGGCACACCTCAAGTTTGCATTTGGAAAATGCCGATGACAGCTCCCTGAGGATTAGACACATCCATTCGCTCTGTCTCTCCCTCTCTGCTTATTGCCAGCACCATCTTTTAATTGGCTTCCTCGCAACTATTAATTCTCCTTTGCTTTGGAAGAGCAAGAAGATCCCTTACGCTTTAATTATAGCCCTGATCTATAGCTGAATTAAACCAAAGTATTTGAGCTTGTTTAGAGGCTCCTGGTTTTTCTGTGGGCTAAATGGTTTTAATTACAGTTATTTGTTTGCTTCCTTGAGTTTTGGATGGGCCCCGCTAGAGGGAAACAGTGCTCTTCCGTTTCCCTGCCCTTCAGATGGAATAGAGAGGCTGAGCCCATTCTGCCCAAGGGCTGCAGAAACACTAGGCTTCGGATTAAGGATTTTGAGAGCCTAGTCTCTTACCATGATTTATCACTTGTTACTTGTTTGTACATTGTGAGCTTATACCCCGGAGACAAATTCCTTGTGTGTCCAATTCACACTTCTATTCAATAGAATAAAGCCTATTCTATTCTATTCTATTCTATTCTATTCTATTCTATTCTATTCTATTCTATTCTATTCTATTCTATTCCTATTCTATTCCTATTCCTATTCCTATTCCTATTCCTATTCTATTCCTATTCTATTCTATTCTATTCTATCCCATTCCTATTCCTATTCCTATTCCTATTCCTATTCTATTCTATTCTATTCTATTCTATTCTATTCTATTCTATTCTATTCTATTCTATTCTTGGAAGAAGTGCTCCCTCACTGGCACTACATTAAGCTTAATTATTTTTTGCAACACTCAAGAAGTTCACTGAAGCCAAATGGCCTTTTATAAGAAGTTGGGAACCATCCAAAAACATTTAAGTTATTACTCTGCAGGAATTATCTTGGTTTGGAGGGCAGCGCATAAGCTTAAATTTTATTTAGAAATTTTCCAGTGTCTCCAAAAGGTAAAACAATTTTTTTATATATTTTAAAGATGTAAAAAAATGAGAACTAGTGTGTTATCCCCTTAATTTTTACCATAATTAAATTGCCATTTTCTAAAGTAATTCTACTGCTGTTACTTTGTATGCATTTTTATTACATCTCTGAAGGAAAAGACCAAATAAAACCCTTACACAGAACATCCCTTTTGTGCATTTATCATAGCATGAGTTCCCCCCCCTCCATCCCCTCACTGGTCTTTAACCACTGCCTGTCTGCAGAGCACATACTAAGTCTGTCCACTTAGTCTCTTCCTTATGCCTGAGCTCTGGGGATGACAGGGTAAAGTTGAGATCAAATGCAAATGAAAGCTCTAAAGAGGAAGTGCTGCTACTGGTTTCCTGACTTTTTCTTCTCCTCCTTTTTTTTTTTTTTTTTGGTGGTGGGGGTTATTTGTTTCAAATTGCAGGAAGCCTACGTACAGAAAATGGTGAAAGTCTGCAACGATTCAGACCGATGGAGCCTCATCTCATTATCCAACAACAGTGGCAAAAATGTGGAGCTGAAATTTGTGGACTCTCTGAGGAGGCAGTTTGAGTTCAGCGTAGATTCTTTTCAGATCAAGCTGGACTCTCTCCTTCTTTTTTATGAATGTTCTGAAAATCCAATGACTGAAACTTTTCACCCGACTATAATTGGGGAGAGCGTCTATGGGGATTTCCAAGAAGCTTTTGATCACCTTTGTAACAAGACGATCGCAACTAGAAATCCAGAAGAGATCAGGGGAGGTGGCCTCCTTAAATACTGCAACCTCCTAGTGAGAGGATTCAGGGCTGCCTCCGAATCTGAAATTAAGTCCCTCCAGAGATATATGTGCTCAAGGTTTTTTATTGATTTCTCAGACATTGGAGAACAGCAGCGGAAGCTGGAGTCCTACTTGCAGAACCACTTTGTGGGACTCGAGGACCGCAAGTATGACTATCTCATGACCCTTCATGGGGTGGTGAATGAGAGCACAGTGTGCCTGATGGGACACGAGAGGCGACAGACGTTAAATCTTATCACCATGCTGGCCATCCGGGTGCTGGCTGAGCAAAACATCATCCCCAACGTAGCCAATGTTACTTGCTACTACCAGCCAGCCCCTTATGTAGCTGATGCTAACTTCAGCAATTACTATATTGCTCAGGTTCAGCCCATGTTCCCCTGTCAGCAGCACACTTATTCTACTTGGTTGCCCTGTAACTAACCGGATTTTATAGACTTGGGGGAACTAACCAGTTTTAAGAGACTTGGGGAAGCAAATAAAAGGGGAGGATGGCTCTCCTCTTTTAAAAGTAGGAAGTGCAACATGGTTTGCTCTACCTTTTATTTTTTATTTTTTTGCTGGAGGAAAGTTCTTCTGGTTCTTCTCTCTTGCATTAAATGAGTTAGAAAAGAACCAAAAGCTATTGGATTCCACCCCAAGGTATGCAACCTGTCTTGAAGAGCAACTAGATCGCCTTGAAATAAACCTAGGAGAAATGGTTGATGACAATATGGGTTGGCAATGCTTGCTCTCCCATAGCTATGGCAGAGCAAAAGTTGGGAAGGCCGCCTTGATTATTATTATTATTATTTTAAAAAATGGAATCTGAACATTGAAATGAAAAAGGAACCTAAGAAGAAGAAGAAAGAGAAACAAACAAACAAACAAAAAAAAGTTAAATATGCTTTCAGGAATTAAAAGTTAGATGCAAAAATATACAGATACGTTGGAATAAGGTGTAATTTGGAATTCTTTCTTTGGAGTATGCATTAATTATGCTGCCCAGGAAGGGTTGCCACAGAATGTATAGCTTGCTTGAATAGAATGCTTTAAGAGAAATTGCTTGCTCAAAAAAAGAAAAGGAGAGATGGAGGCTGAAAGAAGGGTGGGGGTGGGAAGGATTATGGCAAATTTCATTATTTCCAGCTGTGTGCATGCTTCACATTTTTTAAAAAAATGTGGAAAGCAAGAAAACCAGCTGCAGCAAGCTTCATATGCTTTAGGACCAAAGATAAATTCTCCTATTAAAGACGGGATATGGTAGATTATGAAATATAAATATATATATTTGTATACAAAAATTTTAAACAAAAGTGCCTGATGTTTTCAGAGAATTTGAAGTGAGAAAAAAAAAATATAGTTTTGTGGTTTAATCTTGCATTATGTTTTTTTTTATCAGGGACACAAGAAACTTTAAAAAAAAAATAAGCTTGTGAATAAATGGTGGAGGATATTCCTATTTGTTTTCTTTGCAAATACCTATATAAAGGTTATATTGTTGGTGTTCTACAATCTTTGGTACACAATGTATGTGTATGTTTATTGTTTCGTGCGTGCGTGTAACATGTTACATGTATATATTCACATGTTTTAAACATGGTAGGGAAATGTAGCAAATGTTAAGGAATGTTTTAAATGAGCTATAGTGTGTGTGTTCCAGTCTGCAACAGGATATAATCATTGTGAGGCACTTTGCAGAGATTCCCATACCTGAAAAATGTAGATACACAAATTAGTCCTATATAAAATAGGAATCCAACGATAAAAGTAATTAATTGCCCTATTTGTGAGCCATGGGATTTCGTAATTGGACAAAACCTCTTAACTCTGAATTATTGTATCTTAATATAATGTGGTTTTAATGTTCAGCTTAGAAATTCCTACATATTTCTGTGGTGGAGCAAGACACCAACTGGAATGTGGCTCAAACAGGTGGCTCCCCTAATCCCCAGATACTGTTTTACTTGGTAATTTAAATAGTTATGATTAATATTTCTTTTGAAAAGCAAAACGCACTATGCATTCCACGACCACTATAATTTAGCAAATGTGAAATGAACCCTTCGTGTTGCACGTTTGTGTGCATGTATGTTTCTTTCCACACATACATACACTATCAAACATCTTTGATTTGATTGCCACACTCTATTTTGCAGCTTAATATTGTGTCTTATTTAAAAGGAATCGTTTTTGCTTTCTCAAAGAATCAACTTACTGCATGTTCTTCCATCCCCTTTGTGTTGATTATCGTACAGAAGAGTCCTGACTGTTTGTTTTTCTTTTTCCTCCAGCCACTGGTTTTTAAAAGGAAATGAAATCTAACTGTAACGTTCAAATACAGAGTTAAGAGATCTTTTAAGTTAATTAATGAAGGAACTTACGTTTGGATTTAAGTCTCGGATGCTTTATGAATTGTGTTGGAGCCTGGCTTGTCTGCTTTCCCCCATTTTTAATAATCTGACATTTCTAGTACTGATGGAGGAAGGCCACCAACATTTGTAGAATCAAATATTATTTAGATACATCCCTAGCAATGATAAAACAAGATGAAATATTTATAACGTAAGGATTAGTAAATTGCTAATCAGACAATCTGTCCTTGGCCCCCGTAAAACTATTCACAATCTTATTTCCTCTACTAGCTTTTAAGTTACGAAAGATTTTCCCGTATCTACAATAATTTTGTGTTAGTTGAATAGGATTCCCCATGTCTTTACGGTACTCAAAAGTTTGTCCCCCTCGGTGAATCCTGTCCATCGTTTGTTCTGTCTTGAAAGCACTCTCTGCTTGCCTTTGCTCCTTCTGATGCCTGATAGGTGTGACCTTTTTTTTAAAGCTTATTTCGATTAGTGCTTAGTTATAAACCAATGTTAACGCAGTCTCATCTGTGGTGAATGAAAAGAGAGGTAAAAATTTGCATTTGGTAAAAACAACCAGACATTCACTTATTGTCTTGTCTTTATTCCTGTGACCATCCAGAACAGAATAATGAATGAATCCAACTCAGGGTAGGAGTTCTTGGGGGGGGGGGGGACAGACAGGTCAGGGTAGCTGCTGCAACTGTACAAGTTTGTTCCTGGTGGAAACTGAGCTGAAGGCTGGGGAAATGGGATCAGCTGGTAATGTGGTTTTATCTTTTCCTTACTGCAGATACTTTGCTGCAAAGAAATGAGTCACATCCACTCTAGCAAGGGGTTGGGGATCACTGGCAGGACCTCGACTATAAAATGCTGATAGTATATAGCATATTTTCCTTTGGAGCAGTTTTTCCATTTTTTTTAAAAAAAGAAATCCTTATTAGTCCAGGCATTATAGGTCCCCCCAGCCCACACTCTATACCACATTCCATAGTTCAGAGTTTAGTTGCTCTTTACAGCAAATGGATGTGGTAAAAGCTTGGCAATTATCTCTCCACCCCCCACTTCAAAGGCTCAGTAGTTTTGATTAGCGTACAGACACATCCACACATTTATACTTGGGGTGGGGACTTGTAATTGGTGGGGATTTTTAGTAGAAAGTGTCTGATGCTACTAACTGGTGGTCAAACAACTTAAAATCTGTATTTTCAAAATCATTCTGTTTTTGTGGGCGCATAATTAGCTCTTTCTAGAGTTTGGCACTGTCTACCTTCCTTTTTCAATTTTGATGGATTGATAGTTTGAGGAGAAAATGCTTCATACTGTTTAGGGTCCTGTACGATTTCTTCAGTAGATTTTAAAAGTTGTTGTAGTATTTTTAATACAAGACGTCTCATTTATAGCTAAATTGATTGGGGTTCCAGTGAATTATCTCTGAATCATAGAAGATCTGAATTTGTTGTAATATGACAGTGGCTGGAAAGAGAAAAGACGAACGTAAAGTTTTGTATTCTATTCAATTTTAAAAGAATAATTTTAATAGTGAATATTTTGAAAATCTCATTTGCCCATATCTGTTGTGTGGATCTCAAATGATTGGAAGTGTTATTTTCAAGTCCCAAGTTGTTCAGTGAAATTGTACTGTATATAATCTGCAACATGCACACATAAAACAAATTATTTGAAAGGAAACAAGCAAAAATTAAGAGACAATAAAGAAAAAATGCCAGCAGGATTATTGTTTTCATAACTCATTTTATTTAAAGGCTTTAAAACTTACTTGCTGCTAGGTATTGCACAAAGTTTCATGCACACCTTATAAATGCCTATTGTAAAATGCTTTATATGCAAGTTATATTATTGAAGGCTCTTATTCATTCAGAGAAAGCTTTAAATAGTTTGTGGAGTTTAAAATTGTGTAAAGGAAAAGAGACAGAGAAGGAAATATATCTAATGACATATTCAGCACTTTTTTTCTCTTTTTTTTTCTTTTTGTTTTGTTTAATTTGTTTTCGGATGTCTTTCCAGTTTCCATTGCAATGGACAAAAATCCAAAGTCAATGTATACGTTTTGCTGTTCGCTATGATTACAACTACTTAAACTTTGGAAAGCCTACGCATTTTACAATGCGCTGTACATGGCACTGCAAGCCCTTGAAGTCTATGGGAAGTATTGTCAATTTCATTCTCCCAAATTCTACAGAATTCTGAACTTGTAGTCTTCAGCAAAGCATCCTGTTGCATCCAGCTGTTCCTTTGACTGCTCCTGCTATGGGAATTTGTTGACTCTGGGTTCGGTTGGTGGTTGAACCAAGTAAAGGATGGAAAACAGACCCTTCTTAAGTAACAAAAGCATTTGCTTCTGGGCTAGAGGAAACAGATTGTGAATTTTGTTTACAGCATCCAATATTTGGAATATTTGTAAATAAAAATGTTATTTTTTCTAGTTATCTGTGTGTCTGATCTTTCCAGTGTCAAAAACTATTCTGAAATCCATTGTCCGTTGAGTTCTGCTGTTGAATTGTCCAAAAAAGGGTTTTTTACTTTATTGCATGGCCTTAAGATTACTTTGGCTTACTAGAAAATGCAATTAAAGATGCTATGCAGCATGGGAAAAAGCACTGGCTTTCTTCCAGCATGACTTTTGCAAGCACTTTTGCAGGTTTTTGAACTGAATTCTTCATGGATACGGTCTTGGTAATGCATATGCCAGCCTTCTCCAATCCAGTGGCCCCAGATGTGTTTGACTTGAAATATCCATCCTAGTTGGGAATTAGTGCTGGGGTATTTTTTATTTTATTTATTTATTTTTTAAATTTTTATACCGCCCCCTCTCCCGAAGGACTCGGGGCGGTGAACAGCCAAAATTAAAAACACACAATACAAACATTAAAATACTATAAAACGAAATTAAATTTATCTTTGGCTTCCCCAATTTAAAACCCCTTACCCATAAAATTCCCCAATTAAAAGATTTTTAACCCAGCCCGGCTTGCTGAAATAAAAAAGTCTTCAGGGCCCGGCAGAAGGTCCGGAGGTCCGGGATCAGTCGAATCCCTGGGGGTAGCTCATTCCAGAGGGCGGATGCCCCCACAGAGAAGGCTCTTCCCCGGGGGGTCGCCAGCCGACATTGCCTGACCGACGGCACCCTGAGGAGGCCCTCTCTGTGGGAGCGTATTGGCCAGTAGGAGGTTATCGGTGGCAGAAGGTGGTCTCAACCAGTGGTGGGTTGACCTCGGTTCGGACTGGTTCGTAAGAACCAGTAGTAAAACCGGCGGGAGGCCCCACTGCCCCGGATGTCATCGGTGATATGCACAGAAGCAAGGCGCGAGCGTGATCCTGTTCCGAACCGGTAGTAAAGGTAAGTAGAACCCACCCCTGGGTTGGGTCAACCCATCCTGAGGGCACCAAGGTGGAGAACTGGTGGAGACATTGTGGGGCACAAGGTGGAGACATGAAAACATGCCTTTTCATTCAAATTACAATCTCAAATCATAACGAGAGCAAAACCAATCCACTTGCCTGTTTACTGGGATAAAAGGGATTATCAAAATTAAGGTGTGTTTCTTAACCAAATACCTCTTTCACTCAAAAACTGTAAACCAGAGATGCACATTTAAAAAGAAAAAAATATTTCAGTGAGAAGCATCTTGATATAAAATCTTCATGGAACAGTTGCATAGCAAGTAGCCACTTCAATGTTAAGTCTAATTTTTAAAAGAACATCATAAAGAAAAATAAGTTATACAATCTTCTTTCCTCAAAACTACAGAGACTGGAACACATTCATGTACTGATTTTAAACTCTGTACATTTAAGTTTCTAACAAAGCAAATAAAAAATGCATAAAAGTTTGAATTTCAAGAACATACTTTAAAAAAATATTTTTACTAAAAAAGTAAAAATTAATCGTATTAGGGAAAATTGTAGAAAAGTTGTACGATTTTTATTACCGCGTTAGGTACCGAATAAACTATGCCATAAATAAAAGCACTAATTATCCTTCCAGCTGTAATGCCTCTGTGATGAAAGCACAATGGCAAGACTGAATTTATTACTAAATTAATAGAGCGTAAAAAAAAAAAATGAAAGTGGCTGATTCAGGTCCATGAGAAACATGGAAGTGCGATGCCTCCTTTCTGAAGTAGAAATAGGAAACAGGTTTTCAGGGAAAGAAAGGGGAAAATCTTAGCATTTGAGAGCACCCATTTAAATGCTTAAAACTTCAGAAACACAATTTTCTAGTATACAAAGCATTTGTTATGTTCACACTGCAAGCATAATAAAATTATTTTTTTGTTTATGCACTGAAAATCCATTCAGCCCTCCCCCTCTGCCCAGCACTACAAAGGTGCATCATTTTTATGCCACGCCAGTGCCCAGAAAATTTTGGGAATTGTAGTCAGGCTGCTGAGAACCTCCTCCCAAGCTACACCCAGCATTCTGTTCAGAAAGGGAATGACTTTGGAAACTATGTTTCTCCATATTAGCAGTAGTGCTAAGTATCTTCCTTAGGAATGTGCTTTGGAATAACTCTCATGGATACTGTACAAACTTATGGAAATACATTTTAAAAATTGCCTATGGCCCCCAACAATCTGAGTCCTCATTTTACCGACCTCAGAAGGATGGAAGGCTGAGTCAACCCTGAGCCAGTCGGGATATAACATTTTCATCTGACAGTTTCCTCTCCATTTTCTTTTAAATGTGAAAACAATCTTCACATACGTACGAATATTTAAGAAAGATTTCTATATTGTGAACTGTTGCAGTTTTTATTTATTAATGGCATATAGATATTATTTGAGAAAATCCATCTTCATTTATCCACTGGGGATGCAATAGACGTCGTGCCCACGCTGCCAATTTTAGAGACTCATCTTTTCTGTTTTCTTTTCTGTTGGTTTTCAATCCAACCCTTTTATAGTTTTTTTTTAACAACTGAATTTAAAGTGTTCCTGATTTTATTAATACTCAAGGAATTCACTCTCTGCAAGTTTTTCAACCAAAAAATTCTTAGCATTAATAATTCATAGCATTAAGCTTTGGAAGCTTTTCAGAGGACAACTCATGCTCATCTAGCTCCTAGCATTTATATTTGGGTTTATTTTGGGTTAACAACCCAAAATAAAACTCCTCATTTTTGAACAATGGTGGACAATGTTTACATGAATCTGTTTCTCATAAATCAACAAAGACTGATGTAGTTATTGGCTATTCCTAATGGAAGAAGCTATCCAAAATTTCAGAGTAAGATTTTTCTGTGGTATTAATGTTAAAAGCTCAAAGCTAGCAGAACACAGAGCAAGGCCTCCCAGGTCCTGGGTGAGGGACTAGGAAGCAGAATGAAGTGACAAACAGATCCATTGGGTTCATCACCCATTTCTAAACATGCCCTGATCCTTCACTTTGGCCTCATACCTTCAGTTTAACAATCCAGATCCTGGGAAGCAAAAGCATGAGGAAGGAGCTTTCCAACTGGGGGTGGGGGGTGGGGTTACTTGAAAATTCTGGGTCCTATATTGATATTACTGTTACATTAGACTGAGATTTTGGAAGCTCATCCCAACAATCCATTAAGTCTCTACTGTACCCAGCTGGTATGTTGCATGCTGAGAACAACTATTCCTCATATGAGTTTGAATTCAGAAGACAAGCATGAAGATTCTACATGTAAACGTCATAGGAAGATCCTATGGTACATAATGTGGCCTGGCAGACTGAATCTGTCTATCTGCACCAAAACATAATCATAAGTTTATTTGTCAAGCATATATAAGATAACAGGTAAAAGTATAAACATAATTTGAATACATGAAAAGAGTAAGTAAAAAGGAATATTAGGACAGGGCCGGTAGGCACTTATGCATGTGTGTGTGCCAGTGGTGGGTTGCTCCCGGTTTGCACCGGTTCTATAGAACTGGTAGTAAAACCGGCAGGAGGCCCCGCCCACTGACCCCGATGTCACCAAAACGCTTCTGTGCAGAAGAGCGTCTGTGTGGCCCCTCTGCGAACCTGTAGTAAAGATAAGTAGAATCCACCCCTGGTGTGTGCGATATGTGGATGATTTTGCAAGATGCTGAAATCGGTGATATGTTGATGGAATCGGAGAAACATATATTGATAGTCTCAGACTGGACCATTCCATGGACTGTGAGCTACAACTGGTAGAGAACTTGCAGGAACCGAGAATCCAGACTGTGCTACATCTATTCTGTGCGTGTTACACCAGCTGTCTATTTATTTTCAAGGCTGTTTTAAAAGATGCACATGGTGGATATCTGAGCTTTTTGGAAGTCTATTTCCATTTATATGAACCTGGCAAACTTTAATATCTCTATCCATGACCTCACTTTCTGGTTCGCCATTAAGAACAGCATGAAATACAGGTATGAGTTAAGAGACTTCTCTGTAATGATCCTATTTCTTTGATAAGCCCACTCCAGATAATGTCCATAGTTGTTTTTGCTCGCTGTTGAAGGATTTTTAAAACTTATGTCTTATTTGCTCCATGGTGAATTATAACCTGCTATGCTTCTAACTAGTTTTATCATATTGAAAAACATAAATGTAATAAATGTTAGTCCTCTCCCTTTTATTATGCATTGAAATGGTTTATGTATGATACTTCTGTAATGGCTCCCCTCCAGAGCCTAAGGCAACAGGCATACTCTTCCCCTTCCCCTTTATCCCCAAAATACCAATATACAAAATAGCAATTAGCCAAATCAGCTAGTGTCATGGTCCCATCGGAGCCCGGTTTGGAGGAGGAGGGAAAGTTGGAACCAGGACTGGGGATGGCATGTCTCCCTTGGAATGCTTGAAGGGGCCAGGGGCTGAGGATGATCCTGTCCCAGGCCACTCAGGCATTGGGGGAGGTGCTCGACCAGACAGAGAGTTGCCTGCCCTCACAGACACAGGAGAGGATTGGCTGCCATCAGCTAGTGGTGCTGATAGGCAGCAGATCCCCTCTGATGAGGAACAGCTGCCTCCCACAATTGATCAAAGGCACGGAGAGTAGAGTGGAGGCAAGTTCAAAAGAGGTCTGTGAGATGACTCAGGAGAAGGTTGCTTCCCCCCTCCTCACAAGGAACACCTGATCCAAGGGCACGGAGAGTGGAGTGGAGACAAGCTCAAAAGAGGTCTATGAGATGACTCGGGAGAAGGTCGTTTCACCCCTCCTCACAAGGAACACCTGGTATGGGTTGATTTAAGGATAACCTGGGGGGAGGTGGGGAGGAAATTTGTCTTTGTCAGGAACAATTGTTTGTTTTGGCTTACACTCCCTTTGCTTTGACTTGTGCTCTTTCCTGTGCCTTGCCCTTTGCCTTGCAGACTGCCTTTTGCCTTGTAGATCTGCCTTTTGCCACATGGACTTGCCTTTTGTCTTGTGGACTTGCCTTTGACTCTGTGGACTGGGTCTGTGACAATTCTCCACAGCCATCTCGCC